GTTATGCAAGTATGCTAAAATCAGATTTTTATATGTAATACAAATATTAATATCATTATCAACATCTTTAAAGGAAAAACTGTTGTTGCAAATATAACCAAGCTTTCTTATAAATTTTGCATTATCATGATAATTGGATTTTTGATATTTTAAATCAAAATTAGAATTTATCATTATTTTGATATATTTTACCTTAATAAATTCTTTATAAAATTAAATTTATCTAAAGTTAAACTTGTTGCCTTTAAGTTATTAAAAATTACTTCACAAATTGTGTGTAAATGTATAAATGTGCATTCGTATATATATATATATATATGTATATACACACATATGTATAATCGAGTAGTTTAAGAAAATATACATAGCAAATTTAATTTCAGGCTCCTTTGTTTAGGTATATTATTTGAATTCTTATTTAAAGAATATTTTGGTAATAATTTTTAACTTGCAAGTTAGAAGCATAAAAAATGCACTTATTGAGCACCACATAATCCTTTAACATTTATTTGCACATATTGATCAAATTAAATGAACAATGAACACTTCAAAAAGCTACAATAGCTCTGAACATTATAAAGTTTAGCGGCCAAAAGAAAAAAAAAATCAAATTCTTAAAAAATGCAGGTATATTGAGATGCGATACAAGTTCAACTACACAATATAAATAAGAATGGACCATCCAACGAATATGGAGGATTGCCACAACTTGTTGATTGGCAGCTAAAATGACCTCCAAAAGTTTTCAAATGTTAACACATCATCGACAATCATGCATGTCATAATACAACACCTAATGAACTGTACATCCACACAACCAATGTTTTAGCAGACTTTGAAGCCAAAATCTTAACATAACAGAAGCAATGTCATGAACCATTTTGGATAAACAATTTGGGGTGGCTGCTACAGACAAAGTGCGTGTAGGAAACATGGCCTCATTGCACAAATACATAAGAAATTCAACGAAGAACATCTCTACACTAGGCAGCAACTAGAGCTTCCTTGGCAATAGTTGACAGAGCCATTGTTACTGCCTTCACGTCAAGGTTAGACAGCTTGCCAGTCTTCGAGGCCACTACTGCACAGGAGTCCCTGGCATACTCTGGAATGAACAGCTTTGCCTTCTCCTGAGATGCAAATAATGAAACCCTGCAAAGCAACCGTTAGCATTGTTAGTCTGTAAACTGGTTTCGTGTCACATGCTAATCAAATGACGTCTACTTTCTAAGCACCATGAAGCATCACAAAAGGTTCTAGAAATCACGTACGTGGGTTTCTTCAAAGCAATAGCTAACTGTAATGCAGCCGTGTTGGTGGTCACAACTCCAGTGGAGGCATTGATCAAGGCTCCCAGCTGCTCAGTCCAAACAACACTCTCAGTAATCAGACACAGTTTGGAGGACAATCGGCTACGCATACATTTGAAAAGGAGGCATACGTTTCTGATAGTAAGCAAGGTGAACGTTGATGAAGTAGGTGGTACCTGGCTGGGGGTGGTGATGAAGACAATATGGGTGTTCTCCCCGCAGGACTCTTTCACTTTCGATCTCAGTTTCTCGTTTGGAATGACGAAGACCACTTTTTCACTGTTACAAGTAGTGCAGACCACCGATCTCAGATCCCGTTTTCAACCGCAAGGCATCACAGCAACCTCAAACTGCAACCATGGGGGTGTGATACAAGCGTCTAGGCAGATATTCGCTGATGTTGTTGCGATGTGTTGGATATGAAGGCAGCAAGTTGACCTACCTGGTAGACTTCGCGATCTCTGCCCACATTTCGATGGGGAGGAGGCTGTCCTTGTCTCCCCTTGACGTCATGGATGCGCTTGAGTCGCTTTTAATTCCGTGGAATACCAGGAACTCACCCTCACTCAGACCTGCTTCTAAGTACTTGTTTTCAACGTATGCTTTTACCTTCCTACCAATCCCAACTTCCAGCGGAGGTGCTTCAGTTTTGGGCAAATTCTTTCCCATTTGGCTGAGCTCCTCAATCATTTCGGCATACCTACAAACAATCGCCAAGAACGTTTTTTCATTAGTGCACAACTATCACACGCTGCCAGGACATTGTCGTGGTTTATCACAGATTACTGGAACACAAGTTACTGATCTGATCACAGAGTTCTCAGCCAAAATTGTGACTAACTAAAAGCTGCAGACAGAATGCCCTGTGTGGAATTCAGGCCTGCTGTACAATAGGAGGCGGTTAACGGGGCGCGAAATTTACATGTTGAACCCACTCTCTGCCAACTCCAATTGCGGGGCCTTGATAGCAACGTCAAGAAATTTAGTCGCTCCAGCGGCATTCACGTCTGGAAATGTGTAGCTGACTTTGTTGCGCACCGAAGCAAGCCAGAAGAATATAGACTGGCCCAAGCCAGCCAGTTTTGTTGATACCACCAGGTCATAATATTCACCCTGAGAGTTAAGTTCAGGCATGCAGTACCGAAAACATCAGTCTTGTGAACTGAATGATATTAGTCCAACATCTGCGTCGTAATGACGGTAAGAATTTGGATTTCAAATTTCAAATTGCAATTTAAAGTAAGAACTTCCATACAAACAAAGAATTCTTTGAAAAACTCTTGCGTACATATAAGGCTTGTTACTGTTACAAACCTTGATTTTCCCTATAGTCTCAGTGAAGTCCACGGGCCTTAGAAACTGGTCGTCCACAGGATGTACCCACGCCATCCGAACATTTTTGTTCATCTCATAAGTCTGCAGAAAACAGTATCATTAGGACAACAGCTCGCTCATTCCAAAAACATGCGGCACATCAATCGTTAAATTCTTCAGAGCTTTGCGCATTATCTAAGATTCGAGAAGCGCGAGTTTGATGCATCCTCCGAATTCAGCGATCCTGGAGAAGATAGCTGCGTAATTAAGATTAAGCCAACAAGTGTGACAGCATCAAGAAGTTGAATACCTCTTGCCAGTCTTAGCAGCAATTTTTTGCAGCCATGGTGAGAATTAGATAAGGGTTCACCTCACCTGCTTGCCTCTGGGTGTCGCCATGACGTCAATCCTCACTCCGGGATAACGATTCTTCAGCATCTGAATGACGGGGAAGAAGAGCAGGTTCTCGTAAACGCCTCCAGAGACCATGCACAGGCAGCGCCGCACATCGTTCCGAATCAACGTGCCCAGGCTGGCTACTTCGGGCATAAAGCCCGCGGGGAAGTCCAAGTACCCAGACTCGCTGTCGGGATCCCTGGAGGGTCTGGGGTCCTCTGCTTCCTGCGGACCCTGCGACATCAGCTCTCCCATCGTGTCCTCCTCTTCGTCGGCGCCATAGTCGAAAGGGTCGTCGAACCACCCTTTCTTCTTAGCACTCGCGACAACGGAGCTCGCATTGTGCACCCTAATGTTCGAGGTGCTCCCAAATGCGCGTGGCTGCAATTTCGACGGATTAGAGGAAGACAAAGAGGATTCCGAGCGGGTGATGCTACTGCTGCAGAGATGAGAGGTCGAAAGTCCCCCTCCCAGTGCCATTTGGCCCGCCATAGCTGCAGCACCAGCTTGCGAGCAAGTGTGCAACAATTCTTCACCTCATCAATTCTTCCCCAAAAAAATTCGATGTTTTTTTGCAAACCCAATTGCTCCCGAGCTGCGACGCTGCTCCTGAAGAGCTCACGTCGACCAGAAACGCATCGTTTCCTCTCAACAACGAACAATTTGCTTTCAGAAGTGCAACCAGCCTTATCTCTTCTTCCGTTCCCTTGAAACGTTCACCACTGTTCCCATCTGGTTCTCAACTCCCCCTTCTGGTCGTCTTCACTGCGCTTTTGTCTCATTCCCGAAGCCATTGAAACCCATTTTTTTTCTCTCTACATGGGCACGATTTCGTCTTGCTGTATTTCAGACAGACAGGAGGGGAATACTAATTTTGTGTTAGCACATGACCTAATTCCACAGTACCGTTCCGGTCATCTTTTGGTAGAATTTCTGGGAGTTGATAAGGGGTTTGGGGAAGGATCAGTGGTTTAATTCTGCGAAAGTGTGACCAGGCTCCTCTATTGTTTCGCACCCACATTTTTCGAAGCAAATCGAGCGCAGAAGGTATGATCTGCAAAGGACTTTTTACTTTAGTGGGTTTTCACGCATGACCCATTTTGCGATCTCTTATTTTATCACTCTGAAGCTGATTCTGGCGCACCTTCCAGTTGGAGTTGGCCTCTCTTGAAAGTTTGAACGTCCCAGAGCCCTCCCATCCGCTTTGGTTTGCATTGTAACCTTTTTGATTGAATTTGTTGCTTTGATTTTAGGGTTTGTACTACTTCACAAGCATGTCAATTGGGATCGATGGATAGCTTCCCTAATATAATGAGGTCGTGAATTTGTCACGGTGCAGGATATCCACCATGGATTCGAATAGGTGTTTGTGGGGCGGGTTGCCGTCTGAGGTCATTGAGCGCGTGCTGTCTTTCTTGCCAGTACCCGACTTGTGTAGATTCCGGACTGTTTGCAAGAGGTGGAATGAACTACTTTGCAAGCCAAACTTCCACGACCTTTGTGAACTCAACAGAAAGAACGCTTACTTGTTTGTAACGTGCTACCTCGAGTATCGTGCCTTCACCATGGTTGACTATAATTTTAAGGAAACGACGAGCTTTCTCGACCTAGAGGCGAGGCGATGGTATTTAATCAAGCCTGGCGAGTCTCGTGCAACCCGGAATGACGAGGAAATGATTTACGTGTTGGCTGTCGACGATGGTCTTGTGTGTGGTTTGGCTCCAGGAAAAGATGGCGAAGACTATTCATTGGTTGTCTCCGACGTAATTGCCAGGACTAGAAGGGAACTTCCAGAGTGGCCTATTGCTTGTGATTCTGATGATGACCTTCCTATCATAGTGACTGCAGTAGATGTTAGTTCTCGCAGCTACAAGGTATTTGTTCTCAACAGTTGTGAGTTGGAGGAAACGGGAATGCACGTATACGAATCCTGCACTAACGAATGGCGTGCCCTGAAAAATCCTCCCGAGGCGCTAGGGGCAAGAAATGCAGTGTCAGCAGTCGCTTTGCACGGAATTTTGTACGCAATTTTTCGCCAAGAAACTCGCGGAAGGTTCGTTCTTCTACACTACAATCTTCAAGAAGACTCGTGGAAAGAAGTCTCTATGAGCATTCCGCGGAAGAAACGCCATCCACAACTTGTTGTGAGCAGTAATCGCTTGTTCGTTATGATGTGGATGGGTGTGCCTTGTGGCTCATGCTCTGAGCAGGGATCCCAAAGAAAATTTCAATTGTTGTTTGAGTTGAGAGAGATTCTTGTCACAGGGAGCGGTGCCGGCAGGGTAGTGGCCCGCATTTCCAAGACACACCTCCAGGAAATATTTGATGAGCAGGACAAGAACTTTGACATTGCATACGCAGTTCCTTGCATCAATTCCAGCGGAGCCTGCCAGTCCATCGTCTTGATGTCACGTCTATCAGGGGTACTTATATCGTACGACTTGGTGAACAGATCAGCGATTGTCCTACCTGCACACCCTTTAATTCCATCGTCATATCAGGGATTTTCTAGAAATCCATCACCATATTCTAACCCTCTGGCCATCTACTACCAAGGCAAGTACACCAACCTGAGCTTGCGAAACCTCTCCTCCCGATTTTTGGAATAACTTATCAGGCTTGAGAGGACAACATGGTGTCAAGCACTGTCATCTGCACCTACAATTACTGCAAGAGTGTACGTTGGGCCCTTGTTTAAGCGGGAACCGCTGAAATTTTGATTTTATATGTGAGGAACTGATTTGTTGTCCTGCTCATCAAATATTTCCTGGATTAGACTCGGATCGGCAGTAAGCAGGGTGTTACGGCACATAATTTACATTTCGAAAGATAGAAGACAAGTGCTCCCATCACCAGATTTTTATATTCAGAGGATGGATAGAAACTTTTCTGTTTAGGTTGTTTTACAGCCACAGATGACATACTTCAAATTTTAAAGCGCCGCTGGTGCAGTCTTGAATATTGTCGTATTTATGTCCATCATACTCCTAAAACTCTGAGTTGCTTACTGTCAAGCCTAAACCCTAAACCAGCTCACCTTCAAAGACAAAATGACTTGAAGAAATGGAATGCGGCTTTCCTCCAAGCTTGCTACCCACAAACATTTAATAGCCGCTTGACCTCTACAATCGGAACACTTCCCACTAACATCTCACTATGATAAAAAAACTATAGAGAAACACCAAACAAAATTATTACCATTGTTGGTTGGTGATAAACCTTCCAACTGTAGTGGTAAGGCAATGGAATTTATTACCTTAAGATGTCTTGAGAATGAACGACAGTACAATGGGAGTACTTATTTGTACGTAATATGTAAGGAAATGGAAAGCCGTGTCTTTTACAACTTATTGAATTGTGAACAATGTGAACAGTATTATCACCATTTGGTTGAAGCATTATATATTAGGTTAAAAAAAATTGTAAAAATTCCATTGTATAATGTTATTGACAATAAAATACATGTCTTTTAAAAATAGATATAGAAGAACATCATTTGTATAAAAAATAACAAAATACAGTTTACTTAACATTGTAATAATACCTTATTTTAATTTAATAGTATTTTATTTAATTAGTAGTCATCTTTTCTTTGTTCTTAACGTTGCTTGTATTGTTGATCTTTGTTAACAATGCAAAATTTTGTGGCCTATCAAAACTTGCTGAATCAAAATTAAATTGGTAATAAATCTAGTCTAAAATTGATTCAAAGCTTTGGAATCATATATAAACTAAAATTAGCTTCAAACAAAATTTTATAAAACAACTAAACATTAATTTTAGAGGCTCTTATTAGTCATGGTAGTATGGCGGATTTGTAACATATTTTGCATTTTAAGGTATGCTATTATGCAAGGACATTAAATCCTGTTGTTATAACGTTGTTTAAGAAGTGATTTGTACTCCAACAATAGTTAATTTATTTTTTTTTAATTTTCTTTTTGGTTGCATTTCTTCTTAATTTAATTAAGAACATACACTAAATCATTATAAAGTGCATATTAGACAACCTTTCTTTTATTATTAGAAATGCACTATTTATATGTTGGATCTTAGAAAATTTTGATTATCTCAGCTTAACCATTCAATTATCCACTTGAAATCACTTTAACACTATTGTGTCTTATAATTTTAATTTTTTTAGCACTTTTTGGTGTTTTTATTTGGATTTTATTAATTAATAGATTAAAATATTTTAAAATGAAGAACTCTCATTTATCTAAAGCATTTTTATTCAATGAATTACAAGTAAAATATAAGAATATAAAATTTAAGTAATGGAAATTTGACATTAATTTTATAAAATAAAATAATTATTTCAAAAATAGAACACAAGTTATGTAGATAGTCTCTTTCTAATTTTTTATAATTCAAACCACTTAACTATTATAATAATTATTCATGGACATAAACTATTATAATATATACTTGATTCAATTGTTATTTTTGAGACACTATACAGTTCAACTATTTCAAGTTAGATTTGTCAATGGTGTAACCTACATTATTATTATATTAGAAGTTACAAAGGTAAAATAACTACCAAAAAGACAAAATTGAGTTAAATTACATCCTATCAATAGCACTATATTCTTCAAAACGTGTTACAAAGAGCTTTCAATCATCTAACGAACACTCTATGTATTTTTTTAAATTTAAAACATTAAGCATATTTTTTTATTACTGAATCATTATAAATCCACTAGTTAGAATTCACCACAGTTTTGTCAAAAATAATATTGTGAAAATATAGGTAAAAAAAAAAATCTAAATATGTGTCATTTATAATTTATAATTTTTTGAAGAAGATCAAGAAATTTAAAGTTATTCTCATTTGATTCAGGCTAGAATATAAAAGAACATGAAAGATTTTTTTTTATTTGATATTATAACAAAGAGAATAAAAATCAATACAAACTAGTATTTTTTTAAAAGAATTTAGTTGATTAGCCTCTTAATATATGCATTTAATTTTATGGTTTTTAAAATTATTTTAGTAGAATATTAAAAAAAAAAAATTAAATTTTTATTTTTATTATCAAATTTCTTTTGTAAATGGATTGAAATATCTTAAATATAGTTGAAATTTGTATAGTATTATGAATTTTTCAATATGCAAAAGAAAATTCTTGTTCAAAAGTTTTTTAGTGTTTTAGTTTTTTGTATAATTAAATAGAAAGAAATCAATAATTTACAAATTCTATGATTTTTTATTTTGATATATTCCCTTTGTAAATATCAAATATTTCTTACTTTAATTCATTGATATGAAGCTTCTAGATTAAAATTTGGAATCCCTTCTAAACATTGCCGAGACATAATTGCTGAGATATAATTGTTGTTTGATATTGAAAGTTATGACATCTTGAAATTAAACTTATAATTATATAATTTCATTGTAATGATTGGACAAAATTCACATCACAATTTTTTAATAATTTTTAAATATAACCTTCAATCAAATCTTATTTAATATATTTATCATAAAAATATTATTTAAAAAAAATTAATAATTCTATTTTATATATATGTAAATATATATATATATATATATATATATATAATTATTTATTTGAAATTGGCATAATTCTTGTTAATGTGAAGAAATTGATTTTATTTGTGTAAGAAAAGAATGTAACTATCATACTTGATTTTATTTTTAACTCAAGAATATTAATTAATAGCTTTATAAAATAATTTAAAATTTAAATTTAAAATATTTTATACAAAATTCATTATATTTCCTATAAAATTAATATTATGCACAATAAAAATACATTCAAACTTTTAAGTCCCATTAATTGATTGATAGAATTGTAAAAAATAAAAATTTAAGTTATTTAGATATAAAAATTTTAAGATTAAAGATTCTATCTTATTATTTAAGTATTTATTAAAATTTAGAAGTGTTTATAAGTTGCAAGAATCTTATTAGAAAAAAATTCATAAAAATAGATTCTTTATAAGTCTTGGAGGTAATTATCTTAGTTGGTTTAGTATTTTTTTTAATTGTGAAAATTGATATTTTTTTATTGAAAAAAATATCTAAATTGACCTTCTATCTATATGTATCACTTATAAAAAAACCTATAAATATTAATTAGTAGATAAAATAAGCATGAAAAAAATGTCATGTCTCTTCAATTATTTATATAAAAAATAGGATTTTTAATTGATTTAATAACTATAAATTATCACCAAGGTAAATAAAAATTAGATTTAAATTAATTTTATCATTAAAAAAATATTATAAGGATTTTTAGATCTTATTTAGAATTTATTTAAAATATTTTAGGAATTTTTAGAGAATTTTTTTAAGAATTCGGTAAATATGAGTTTACTACCTTAGAAGGTCATTATGAAAAAATTGAGCAAGATTTTAAGGCCTTACAAGGTTCTTAGGTTAATTTGATAATTTTAAACACAAAAATAAAGCCTAAAATAAAAATTAAATTATTAGTAGAAAATAGAAAGACCAACACCTAGTATAGTACTTGTAAGAAGTGAGGTAAACATGTTTAATATGGATTGTAGCACCCTAGATGTAGGTAGGAAGATAAGAGTAAGGCCTTGTGGCCTCTCTAAGAAACCCATATACATTAGTTGTGAGCCTTGGTGAGACTCAAATCTTTGATTTCTTAATCAAGTTATTCTTGAAATAGAACATTTTTACATAAATTTTATCTTTAAATTATCATAAATTACTCATAATAACTTAGATTTTATTTTTTTATGCTTCATTAAAAAGATTAAAAAATTAAAAATCTAAAAATATAATATTTAATTATTAATATTATTTTTTATTGGATGAAAATCCAATGAAAAAATTGTGATTAGTTTTGTATTATGTAATTGTTTAATTGCATTTCTTTTACTTGTTTTGTAATTTTTCTTCTTGTTATTTATAAATTGCTTCTCTCACTTCACACCACCAATTACATGTAACTCTTAATTAAGATCATTTTGTAATGTGGATTGATTAGAGAATTTTATTTTTAAAAATTATGACAAAAATGAATATTTTTTTAGGAAATATAAAATCATATATAGTAGTGATTGTAATTTCTAATGTGTGTAATGCCAAAAACCAAATATAACAATTTTAAAATTTATAACTTAAGATTGACGGTAAGATTGCATGAGCTTATTTTTTTAGTTTGTTTTAATAGAAATAATCTTATTAGAAATATTATTAAAGAAATTATAATGATTTAGTTATTTTAAATTGCATATTACAACTCTTATTAGTATTATTTTTTAACCGTGAAAAACTTTTAATATTTAACATCAATCTCTTATTTATTATAAAAATGAAAAATCCATAAAAAAATCTAATACAATATGGTACATAAATCTATATACTATACTCTTTTCAAATTCTTTTAAAAACATGAGTTTTTTTCAAAAGTGCTTTTTATTTGGTTTAAAAGAATTTGTCAGTTAATTTTTGTTAAAGCAAATATATATTGGAACTCTTTAAAATTCAAGAATTTATTATTTTTTTAATTGCTAACATATTGAAGTTGTTATTTTGCTATAAAAGTTACATTTAAAAAATGATATTGAAGGTTTGAAGGTTTTTAGGTGCATTTTGTTTTGATAATTTAGGGTGTTTTTAATACCTCAGGTACAAGGTGAAAGGTCATGAATTTTTAATTCTTCGATTGGTTGAAATAGAGAAGCTTCATTTATTTAGCTTTAAAGCCCCAGAGCTTTATAGCTTTATAGCCCCAAACCTATATAGCTATAGTATTAAAAAGATATATCAAATCATATTAAAAAGATATATCAAATATATAAAATAGTACAGCCGCTAACTAAATCTTGCTTCTAATCTGCGCCCAATTATAATCTTCACTAGCAACTTTTGCATATCTACAGCATCATTTGATAAAACAGCGTTCTGTGTTTTTCTTCTTCTTCTCCTTCAAAGTGAGTTTTACCTCTTCTTATTGATCCGGAAGGTGGCTGCCTCGGCCAACATGCGCAGTCGTGGCCTTAGATTTTCATTGAGCTTGATAAAAACCAAAAACAGAAGTCGGTAAATGGCTATCATCCCAAATATAACGGCAAGGTTCCCCCACCGCCCTTGCTGAGATATTTCAATGCCCCAGAGCTGCTCCAGGATGTATTTCCCAGACAGATTTGGACCCACAGGCTTGCCATCCACCAAGAAATTCTCAAAAGACAAGCCCAGGAAGTCATTCTCAAACAGTCCCTGAAAACAGCAATGCACCCACATCAGGGCTTTCAAGTTCACAGAACCTATTGTTGACTGATCATGTGATGCACACACACAACTTATGAAGAATCACAAGCATTCTTTCATATACGCAATGCGGTGTGATGCTCTCACAACAATATTCATATACACCGACATCGGGACCATGGTGTCGGTGTCAAGCTAATCTAGACTCACCCGGATGGCGTAAGTGTGGAAAGCGATGTACGAGAACGGATATCTCCATATGGGCTTCGGGAGGTCTCTCAAGGGACGAAAGAATCCTGCTAGCAACATAAACATTGCCTGGTTACAGGCAGGCAGGCAGACAAACAAGTATAAACGATGTTAGAACGGAGGACTGAGAAAGAGTTTGCTAGACCGATGTCTGTTGGAAAACAAAAAAGAGCCTGCTAATTGGGTGTAGAGCAAACAGGAATCAAGGTCTGACTGAGGATGTGTGAGCAAACCTGGATGCCGGCACCGACGACAATGCCTGCAAGGAAGTTTTCCCCCACAACGCTTGACACCATCATCATCAGACTCTCCACACACGCCAGGCATGCGAAGAGCATGATGATGAAATAGGCGTAGTGATCGAATCCAGGATGCAGCTCGCTCAGGAAGTACACCAGGGTGCCCGACGTCAGAGAAATGAGGCAGAGGTAAGGGATGGATGCGAAGGTGTTAGCCACCACGAATGCCGCCCCTCCGTAATGCCCACTCAGCCGCTCATGTTGAAAGACCTGCCACAGATGCGATTGCACGAGATTCGGTGAGTTCATGACTCCTTGATGCACAAAGACATAGTTTTGGGAGAAAGATAGTTGGTGCTGTGTGGGCAAACGACGGGAGGGGAAGATTTGGTTGCAATTTGTTTTTTGCCCTTCGGTGGATGAGCTGCAGATTGGTTTGGAGTATGGTACCTTCATGTCTTCCACAAAGGATGGGAAACCACCGATGGACATAAATGTCCAGAATGCCGCAACGGAGAACATGCATCCTAACCGAGCCTGCAAGCAATCATGGTATTCATTGATTTTGATCTCTTGTGTTGAGCATCAAATACTGATCCATCATCACCCATTACACCAGAATGCTAGAAATTCTCTGCTACGAAGTTAAATTTATATTCTAATAGATGTAAACAAACTTGGTGTGCACAGCAGCAGATCGGGAAAGTAACTCACAAAGATCGAGCTGTATTGAGTTCCAACTCGCCAACAAATGGTGCCAAGGCATATGCCTACAATGATGTACATGGTAACTCGGAGCCAGAAGTACCCCGGGTCCCTAGACATATTCACAAATGACCGCTGCGTAAGAGTTACGCACTGATGCAAAAAACTTGCGCGGCCCTTGCTTCCCTCGACAACTCCCCCGTTGTGACTCTGTAGGAAAACGGAAGCTACATTTTCATTCGAAGGGACAAACTCTGACTTCATAGATTTTGCTCCTCCCACTTGATGGATTCGCACAAGAAATCTCGATGATATCAACTCAAGAGGACTTGAATAACTGGTGTTGTTCAAACTAGACCTTGCATATTGTGAGACTTACATGTTTTATGATATGCGTTATTCTTGATAATGTTGCCGCAGCATAGTTGCTCTCCCCGTAAGCAGTTGAAAGTGATTTCGCTACTATGTCTCTACACAGGCAGCCTAATGTGATTGCACCACTTGGACTTGGGCACTGATTGAAGTTGGACAAAGATCCATTCCCCATTTCCGAATCCTGTATGTGCATTTGAAGTGGCAAGTAGCAAAACGTATTTCGTTACCAAAATAATCGTGGATCTCAGACCATTGTCAGCTCTATTGACAACAACGTTGACTGGAAGAGTGAGAGTAAGGAACATTCTGATGCTTCTATTACAATGAAAACATGCTTTAACTGAACGCAAGAGATCCTTCTAATCGAATGACGAAATGATAAGCAAGTGCACTCGATCATCCATTGGAATGATCCACACAACTACCTGGTTTGAATAAATTTTCCATGACTTCATTACATGGCTGCTGGTTTGTGTCTGGTTAATTCAGCACGTTTCTTCAAGTCGTGGCAATTTATTTTCAAAAACGGAAATCATGTGGAGATTGCTTACTGTTTGCACGATATCCACAAGCTTGTTCTTCACTGTGTCAAAGTCTGAGTTGATAATTTGCAAATAATGGTCTGATGGGTTCCGCATTGAGGGGCATGGATATCCTGATGCTGCGAAGAACTTCAGTTCATCCCAAAACATAGCAGATATAAAAGGTTACTTTCTCAAATACAAAAGCCGCATGAGATCTGCCTCTGAACAAAAATAAACTAGGGCTTTTGAAAACACGCATCGGTACACAATTTCCTATCAAATACTTGCCCTCTGAGGACGGAGGCATAAGTTACCTCAGAGGCATGCGTACTTTGACCGAAGAAAATTGTGCGCCCGCCTGAGAGGAGGGTGAGGTTGTCAAATTGTGCGAACACTTCACTGCTGGGCTGGTGAATGGAGGAGATAACAGTGCGACCGTCTCTGGCTAAATTTTTCAGCGTTTGCACCACAAAGTATGCTGCAGCACTACAAGATCCACAATTCGGTCACAAACAGGCTCAAAGACCCCGCACATGGTGGTAAACCAGGCCAATGCGAGATATCTTCAATGAGATACCCTTAGTGCTGACTGGAGACATAGCAAGGGGATTGACATTGACCAGCAGAAATTTAAATATCTGCCAGAACATCAGATAAATTGATGACTATGCTCATCAAACCTGCGAAATAATTGGAAAAGAAAGCTAAACATCGACTCATGAACTTCAGGGAACAGAAAGAAGAACATGTGAATGAGCACTACACCTATCTAGACCACTAGTTGGCTCATCCAGAAAGAGCAATTGGGGGCGATTCAAAATCTGCAATGCAATGCTCAGCCGACGTTTTTCACCACCACTGAGACCTCTGGCGAAGGCTCTCCCGACGCAGATATGTTGGCAATCCGAGAGCCCCATGTCCTGTATTGTGCTGTCCACGATCTTCTCTTTTCCCTCCCTGGTTTTTTCCGGTAAGCGTAGTTTGGCAGAATACATGAGGGTTTCTTTCACGGTTAGAGTCTTTATGAGCACGTCCTCTTGAGTCACATATGCCTGCAAATCGCAACAAATGAACATAACTAAAGTCGATTGTCAAAGACTCGTGAATGGAAGCTCGCGATTTCCATAGTATTGATCATGGCAACAATAAGTTATTCCATCCGTCCTGAAGACCCTGTACATTTTATAACGATTTAAAACATACTGCTGTTCCATAAGAAAGCGTTGCTTTGCTTTCTCCGTTGAGTAATATATTCCCTGTTAGAACGGCATTAGGAGGCAGACGCCCTGCATTGCATAACAGTTTCTTAGATGAGTACTTCTGTGGCAGAACATGTAACCCAACGCACATTCGAAAGCTTTAGTTCGACATATTGCTAGGGATAGTCGGTAAGGTGATGTGAGTAAAGCATACCTGCCAGAGCATCAAGCAATGTAGACTTTCCAGAACCGCTGGGTCCCATGATAGCCAAAATCGACCCTGGCTCGGCATATCCTGCAGAAGCCACAGTCCACTGTCAATCACAATCCATTCGCATCAGTTGAGACCTTCAACTCCACGTTTAACAGTTGTGTGGTTAGTTCAAGTGAACGCGCCACTCAGGTTTTGGGACTACACGGCTATCTGCAATGGAAGATGAACTCAGGGTTTCTCAGACCGAGTTTCTCCATGAAGTATTCTCTGCGGACAAGACGACTGATGCCTACCCCTATCAAATCCTTCTTCAAATTCTGACGCTGGAATGCCAGCGTCACCGTTACCAACAATCAAATTCCACTCAGTTCAGCTCTTATTCCTGCTTAAACCCCAACTCCACTACAATCCTACCGCGCGTGCATTACTGTAGAATCACAACGTCCGAGCTTCTAATTCCATGTATTTGGCCCTGCTCGACCCCCAAGTGATGATTTCACCAGCGAAGATTGCGCAACAGGGGTGTTGGCAATGGAGCTTCTCCAATGCCGCGACCAATTGGACACCAAAACCTCGAGATGATCCTGAGTCCCCCGAAATTGGACTGTGTCTCATTGCGCGTGTTACCATGGCGACGACTGATCGAAGGCAGACAGTCCACACTCAGCCGCCGCCGAGTACATATCTAGATTTTCATCGTAAGATTATGAAACACTGTGACAGGAAAAATCTTACAATGGTGTGCATAAACACATTGCATTGTAGTGATCAGGATACTCCCCACAATCACTTCACAGTTACGGAGATTTCTAGTGACCTCCAAAAATTCAGTCGGTATACCAACTTGGTTTTCATGAGAAGCCTAGAATTTATCAGTTCAGTTGTTTGATCACCAGCAGGTTGGATAACCAAACAAGTAGGATTTCATGAACTCTTGATTCTAAAACTGGTGAAAAAGAATCTGCTCGTAAACAATTTCATGCCAAAAAATCAGAACTTTATGCCAGACGTTTCTCTAGGCTTACAACACGCTGTGGCTATAGATCTCGGTTAGCGGTACCTGTGGCCCCCACAAGAATGGGGCGAGAGCTTCCTTTCCCCCATGCTGAACTCCTCACATTCACACAGAGATTGGTCCACGTAATGTATGCCCTGTTTGAGCCGCTGCAGCAGATCATGCTCTTCGCCATTTGGTCTTCCATATCGCATGTCTCCATCCCTCAATTCGTGAACAGCTTTCTGTGAAAGAGAAAGGACTAACTCTACAAGATTGCAGCTTCTATTTGAACATGAACTGCCTACAAATTTATATAAAGGTCTCAACATCCATTCGGAGAGGAGAGTGAGTTCCTGTTGTTTCTATTCCCTAGAAAACAAGAGATCAAAACTCCCATCACTTCGAGTGACATCGATTTGAACCCACTGGTCACATGATGCAGCTTTCCGAAAGTAAAACTGGCAAAAAAGGACGACTATGCAGAGGAATGCAAGGTGGACAGAAGAAATAAGAGACTGTCATCGCGTTTACTTCAAATTTTCATTTGGAATGCCACCAACTTCAGGAGGTTGACACATGCGAAATAAGTAAGCAAGCCTGCGAGCCAGAACGTGGCAACAAGAAATTAGTGAAATGTATGAATTGGTTTAAGAGTGGTTTTCGAAATCCACGAACAGCTTTTCGTCTGATGCTTCAAGCTTCAGACTGGAGAGATGTCTGGACCTGCTCAAGGCATCACTCTAGTAGACTGATTTGGTTAAAGTCCCTTCCTGGCATCTCATGATCGTCCTTTAGTAGTCGGAGGAGTCAGATAGTGCGTCAGCCCGGCAGTCAGGGTCGCGCTGATATCTACTCTAGTTCCTAGATAAGGGGGTGAGCGGTGGAAAATATCTGATGTGTCCTACTACCAGAAACCTCCTCCTCTTGCCAATTTGCATGTTTGGGTCAGTTTGCATGTTTGGGCCAGTTTGCATGTTTGGGCCAGTTTGCATGTTTGGGCCAGTTTGCATGGTACAGTCTCGGAGATCGGGACATAATTTGCCTTGACCAATCTTCATCAATTCTGGTATAGAGAATCGTATTAAAATCCGCAATGTTTGCTGCTGTACCACATTAGGCTGTTAAGGCTCCTGGAATGACTGTAGTAGTTGCTTGTCTGTTTTGTATTGAGGTGAAAATCATCGTCTGCATGTATCTGCACTGTGCCTGTGTATGACATCCTTGACCAACATTTCAAGGCATTCCTTTGAGAGAATGTTTTATCCACTTTTAGTTTCGGTACCTCACAATTTGAATTGGAGAAGGATTTGTGAGTCACATATTTTTAATTAAGAGCTTAATTATACAATACAGCAAGGAATTCCCATTAAAAATACAATTTTTGGTTTGAAATCAACACCCTCAAACTCCAGAATTTTTCAGATATATATATACAGATGAAAAACTTTAGTAAGAAACTTCCACCGAGAAATCTCTGGACTTCTAGTGTTTATCTTCAAACCATAGTAAAATAATTCATGTTCCTTTTTGTCCTAGGAGAAGTGAATATATACGACAGATAATAAAACCAGTCAACATATTGACATATTTGAAAGACCAGTTATTCATTTATGTGATCACCATGAAGAAAGAATTAGATTGAATACCACTTAATATTCACTTGAAATTAATAAAAAAAGGAAATAATAATAATAATAATAATAAAATAAAAATAAAAAAATTTACGAAGTAGCAGACGTTGTACCTACCTACATATCATCAATTGTAGGATTGTTTGAAGTACTGGTCGTTTTTTTTCTTTTCTTCTTTTTCAACTTCAGTGGGATTTGGGTTCTCCTAACGTTGTACAAATACAGACATCTGATCTACTCGTGGCCAAGTTCCTCTAGCGACTGGGCTATACAACTGTTATCTGTGTATTCCTACAGATTCTCCCTTCATTTGTTACAACGTTCTGTTTCTGCGTTTCTACCACCAAAGAATCTCAAATCTCATGGGTGAATTGTGTGATCTCCGTGGTGAAGGACAACATCTGTACTGGTGCTGCTTTCATGAACTTGGAAGTACAGGGCTTCTATTACTTCGTTAAGCTGAAAGTCAGATAATGCAGTTGCCAGTGTCTCCCTTGCAACAATGCGTGCCTCAACTTAGCGCAGGCTTTTGAGCAGAAACCAAAGTCCTAGCAGGTGAAGGACCAAAACTCCTGCACGCTCTTAACGAATCCCTTCCTTACAATCATAACCAGCGCAGTTCAATGTCATTCACCGGTTTCGAAAATCTTAGGCGCGAAGCTTGTAGGGGATGGGGTGGGGGGGGTGACAGACCAGGTGACCTAATGGCCCCAGGACGTTGTATCGTAACATGCGCAAATTGTCATGCGCATTGAAGGCTGTACATTTATTCGAGAGCTGAACCTGTGACAGGCTTAGCAATGTGGCTACGGATGGCTTCCAAACTTGTTCTCATTACAGTACTCCAGCCTGCCTGATTTTATCGCATAGAAGCTCAATTTATCAGACGTTGCACAGCCTGTTGGCCTTGGGAAATTTAGAGATCGCAGTACAGGCTCCACGAAATGAACTACTATTGTCCTACTACTGCAGATCAGCGGCACTGAGAATGAGTCAAGTCGTGGAACTAGTCCACAGACTTGAGTCCAAGCTTGGGAAAAACTCGTAAAAAAAAGTTGTTAGGCTTGAAGCTCACTCAATGAGACCGCTTGTTTCTTCTTAAACTCAATGTACGAAGCAGCATAGAAGAAGAAGCACACTGATCTCTTGTGGATTATACTCACGTCACGATATTAACCGACATAAAACTGTAGTGTGGCACCTCCTTTCAACCTGTACATTTCGTGAGCAAATCGGGGCTTGCTTACGCTCAAAATTATTAGAGCGCGCTGGAGGGGATAACAGTCATACACGATGCCCTGGTCATTCAGAATGGAATACTTCCTTTAGTACTATTTTCTCAAACGCCGATATGCAGCATCTTCAATGCTCAGCCTGGTTGATAGAACCTGAATATAGATAGTTGCATGTGAATTTTCGCATTGAATCTTGATTGTCAATTTCAAAACAGATCCATACAGTCTGATTTATCAAAGCATCTGGACAAACGATTTAACTCTTAGGTATAAAACTCCCAACCTTGAACGTTCAATTCCTGAGCATTTCAGACGTTCAATTTTTTAGATAATAGTGGAACTGATGTGAGATCGTGTCTGTCACGAGCAACTACTTGGGAAGACTTTAGCAAGAATTTATGTGGAATCATGAGGAAATGATGAAAAGTTCACCTATAGTTCTAGACAATTTGCGTTCGTGTCACGCAGGACGCTTAAGCATGGAAAGCTGAAACAAGAGGAAAGATTCTGACAGGAAATCGTGATCCAATCTATCAAAAGGTGTTCTATTCATTAGCTTCACGAAATTTTCTCGTAAAGTATTTGAAAGATACTCCAAAGTACAGACATAGAAGTATCCGGATTTCAGCAGTAGAAAGCACCACAAAGATGAAACAGATTAAGTTCACTCTCTTGAACACCTTTACTTGCTCCAACCATCATATGGGCAGGCTCAAAATTTTGGAATTAAATCGTATGGGGTGGGAGAGAATCCAGCACATTTGCAGCAATCTCAATCCTGAGGCCACTGAAATTCATCAAAACCACCATCATCACAACCAGCAACGTTGCAAAATGTACAGGCTGGAACAAGTCATTAAATACGGATGTTCGATTTCGGACGACCTAAGAGTCTGTTAATAAATGAAACAGAACCATTCACAAAATAATTGTAGAATATCTGATTTTTACCATGTTAAGGAGACCAAATGAGTGAATTTACACGATAATTGTCAATGGAATGTAAACCAAGTCCAAGTCGAAACTTGGGAGCGTGAAGATAAAGCCTGAAGCATGAAACTCAACGTTCAGCCAGGACAAGAACTCCGTAGGCAAGTGTATCTTCTTTCTGAAACATAAATGTACAGATAAAACTTTTAACAAACTTGATCTAATAAATGAACCACTATCACTATCCTTCAAGTACATGCAGTTCACCATGACCTCACCGTAAATGAAACGTGCTGTCTGTATCCTCCCCAATGGAAACGCACGGAACAACGTATCTCTTTCAGCCATGTAGTCTGCTTAGTCAGTTTCGTCTGGCCAGCTAAATCTCCGGTACTGAATTTCCCCCCATATCGAGCTAACGTGGAGCAAGCCACTTGTTGCAGGGGCCAAAGCATCAGCATCAGACAGTGTGACCATTGATCCCTTCCTTTCGTCACAAGTTAACAAATTCTTTGACTTCTGCCTATTTTGAAACAAGATTTGTCGTAAACAGACAAATTCATACTCATGTAGGTCACACCGAATCTTGTCTGCCACAGGAATTCCTTCGTTCAGGTCCAGACTTTGTTCGACGAGCACAACACCAAGCAGGTGAATAGTATCAAGATTAGTATGGTTTCGAGTATATTGGGGTGACTCAACATCTCATAACATACGTACATACTACTTCTCTTCAGACACCGAACCTGAACTCAGCTGGCATCTAAATCCTAAATAATCTCATGTGAAGTGCAACATTCTTCATGCACATCCTCGACCAATCTACTGTTAGCCATCTTGAGAGCAATAATGGAAAGATTTCTGATTGGCTTTTCTACCAAGCACACAAACAAAAGGCCCTCAGCTTTGCAATGCATGATTAAGCCGGGCTGGATGTGTCAGCAAATTTCTTGACATGCCATGCGCAGAACCTACTACCGAATGCTGTAGGAGGGAGGAGACAGGATTCCCAAAGATGTCGAGGGGATAACGTCATCAGGCTCAATCAAACGTTCTAAAGATTAATGCTTTGCCTACAACAATAGCGGTAACTCCACTACCGCACACAAGACTTAGATGTGGGCGTACACGTCATGATGCCTCTATTACGCTAACCCGTGCCAATCACTGATCCAGACTGTTGCTCTTGCAAGAGTGAGCGATTATTCTAGCCAGATTGGGAGCTAAAGAAAGAATAATCGGAGAATGCATGTGCAAGTTCTCACCAAATTCGTTGCTTGCTGTTATGGGCTACTTTGAAAAACTTCCTGCTTGTAAAATGAATAACGTATCATAGAAATGGCAATATACAGCAGTAATGTAGCAGTCTGGCGTTAGATGTGCACATTCTGTTAAGTGCCTTCGTGAGAACAATGCACTGCATATTAACTTACTGCACCTCGCCCAAACTTCACAGCACCGATTGAGTCTCCATTAAAATGCAAATTAGGTAGCTTAATTTCTGTTGAAAAATTATTGCAATCAAATATTAAATGGCACAGTCGACGGATGGCCAAATTGGACTTCTACGACGGGGCTAAACTCATATGCATTTTCAATTGCGCACGAGCATCTTCTTCAACTTTCCATGATACTGCAAATATCCCCTCCCAGTCTGGAAAGAAAGAAACTGAGGTAGCAACGACTAGACCTATTTCATCTCAGCAGGAAAAATCAATTTCTATAAGCTTGGCCTGCCGCAGAGATGGACTGAAACCATTCATAATCTCTGACACATTCATAAGACAGGATTCATCTCTCCCTCATTTGAAATCTTGAGTCCTACTACTTGGTGTAAATGGATCCAAGTCTTGCTCCCTACTACCAATAAAAATCGAGGTTAACGATTAGCAGTAAATTGCTATATTGATGATGACTGGCCTCAACTATTGATACAGTCAGGGCAATGAAAGTTCTTGACATTTTTTATGTCTTCGGAAGAAAGCATTACACATTTCGGATGAAACCTGTAGAGACACAATGACACATTCAGTCTCTCAGAAGAAATCGAAAATTCACCAGCTTGAACTTAATATTTAAGGAGAGAGTTGATATTGGACGAGCAACACTTCACTCAGCCAAAAGCAAATTCTACTAAACACAACGATATCTCATCCAGTGGCACTTTCTTTTTAAGGTCCTAAACATTTTTAGCGCCACTAATTACTACTCACTGAAAACAGAGATGCAAATAGACATCTACAATTGAAGATGAGTATTACCAGTCTTTACAGTTCTCGCATTGAACCATTAAATCATCGGGATTGTAGGGCATCTCACACTTACAATACCTGCGAAAAAAATATAAATCAGTATCACAGAAAACACACAGTTGTTATTAGCAACAAGTCAGGTCTCACTAACGACAGAAGAAAACAGCAGAAAAGCCTCGAGCAAATCCCCCGACTAGTCAGCACATCATGTCTACTACATGCAATCAATATCTTAACAGGAGTGACAGAATCAGGGGTTGATTACCGTCCCTCTGTGTAAGCTAAAGAACACAAATGGCAATTAGACAATAACTTACACGGCAACACGATCTGGCGAAAATGTCCCAGATCTAGCATTGTAATCGAATCGGCAGAAATAATCATCTGTTCCTACATCCTCCAGGCGTGTGTAATCTTTGAAAGTGTGGATAGTGCACTTGTTTTCTACGGCCTCGGGGCTGCAAACGTCGTAGTGGTCAGAAAGAAAAAGCTCTTTTGAGCCATGAAATTGCCTACGCCCACCTGCCGACTCTTCAGGTCGATAGTACCAACGCACTTTCAGCGTTATTTTCTCTGCCGCGTCAAGCTCAATGAGTTCAATCCTTGCCACATACGGGGGTGTGGTGAGATCTGGTGGCCGCAAAGTCACCGTATCTCCAGCTGCCATGACGCCAAAAACACCAGTGTGAGAAGAATAAATTTAACTTAGTTATAGGATTGGGTTACAGGTCATCCCTTTCAAGCCTAAGCATGCTTTTTAGAGTTGTCAAGTTCCGGCTACCAATCGTTCTGATTAATTACCTCAATGTAATGGTATCCTTTGAACAGAGTTCCTCGGCAACCCTGTGAAAGAAAACAATGGGGCCAAGTTGCTACTGTCAGTGGCGGAAGCAGCAACCAACAGAAATCGCCGCCTTGTTTTCTTTTCACAGGTGCCAAGGACTAAAACCTCCAAAAGCCGTTATGAGGATGGAACATACATGTTTAAATACCAAGTTACTCAGCTGCTAACGGCTTCCTTACCAATATCCAAAAAAACAATACCAGCGAGGGGTAGTGGGTCGTGACTCAAACTAGGTTTAAGATTGAGAAACCCTAAACTAATCGAGCTCACAGTTGTACAAAAATCAAGCACGAACGATTGAGCCCATTGATTAGCAAAGCCTACCTCAACATTGTTGGAGAAACTTACGTTTGATAATTTTCTGAGTGTTGGCAATGCGGTAGTAATCCAGCCGACTTTTAGTGGTACGCTTCTTTGTCATACTGCACATTTAAGATTAACTGGAAACAGATTAGATCCACAACGTGCTGCAAATTTGCAACTGAATTGCCAGCATGGGTATAGCATGACTCTCCCCTTCAGGACCTCCTTCACATGGGCCACTGGAGCAGTGCTTTACGATCTGCGAAATAACTCTCTGAAGAGATTTTCGGAAGAAGATTGTTGACACAAAACACAATATAATTCCGCCGGTTCAGCAACAAAGTGGTCACAATTCCAGTTGGTTTACCCGATTGTCTATGTGTAATAAACAAATCGTAGCCCTTCCCAGTTAGAACCATAACGTGATCTCATTACCTCCTGGGTGCACATATTGAATGTGATAAAGTGCAATCCTTATCCCAACGCCCTTGACATTGTGATTGACAATGAGATCATGACAACTCCATGACTTAACCATGCATACGTGTACTCAGGAATGCAACTGAAACCAAAAGAGGAAGCGTTGAGCATACTCACTCTAAATATTGAAAGACGCTTCAAAGGATACTAATTATTAGTGGGTGCAGATCCTTCCCGTCGGCACCCCCTAATCTGTTACGAGTGCCACATTATCCCCTCAAATTTCAGGCTACCTTGCAGTAATAAAAGCGACCTGCATATACAGAGCTATAAATCAGATGGTATTTTTTGTCCCGACCTCAATATTATCAACTATCAGTATCAGACAGGGGCCAGTAGAGCGTATTGTTCCAGGTACAAACCATCGACACTTAGGGCATCTTTATCAACATTGTATCGAGTCACACACACTTCGCATTGTGTTTTCTTTTTCCCAGAAGAGAAAATATTGAAACCTTGCTGTAAGTCAAGATCCAAAAATTGGAAACTCGAATTACATGGTATGTATATGGTTAAGAATTAATTGCTGATTAATCCCGTCCTGGAACAACTCAATGAGCACCCAAGAGCATCTTCATTTCACTCCAATAGGAATTGGTTCATTGACAGAAGTTGAAACTGTAAAAGAGATGCCCACCACCGTCGAGAACATTTCCTTCGAGATACATGTAATGCAGTATTCCAAGTGATGAATACAACGAAAATGGGATACAATCACGACTTAATTTCCAACTGTTAAAAAGAACTGCAAGAACCCAAGTCTCACAGGAGGCATTAGTTAGAGAATCCTATCACTCACAGAAAATCTCCAGCGAAACTCCTGGCACCTACGCCCATCAGACAAACTACGCAAGCATTCAGAAAAGCTGTCGGAATATCCACAAATCGCCGGCTCCGATGGAAGGATTTACTCACAATTACTCATCGCTGTCATAAGGGCCCATCGAGCGACCCAACACCTATCAACGCTGTGCATGGACGTGAATCAACCTTGAACACGTTCAACAGAGTAGAAGCAAACATTGATTTAGGGCTCTTGTCCAAAAACCGTCTAATTAGCCAGGCAGCAGCAAATATCAAGAACTAGAGAAGAACCCAAGAATGCTAAGGAACCCAACTTCGAGCTTCATATCATCAATTCCTTGCAGACGCTTCAAAACACCAACTCCATCAAAACGCACACATACCCACCTTTAATGCAACGCTCTAGCGAGAGAGGCAACAATCAACAACCTTCAAAGACCAGAAGCTCCCTCACAGGAAGATATCCGCCAATCAACCCACAAACCAAGCAAACTAACCGAGAATATACATTCAAGCCCCCAACACCCCGCCCTACAGGGTAGTAATACCGTATGAATTCACTGATCATCAACCAACCTTTTCATGCAAAACTGACACTGGATGTTGAGAGCCAACCACAAGCCGCACACAATCATTCAACATTTCCACCACATTTTCACCACACCTGCACAATAAATTTTTTTAAATGCTTCATGTAGACTTCCAATGAAGAGCTCCGGCTCTTGTGTCTGCGGCCTCTCCTGTACAGTGTGAAACGGAGGTCACCCACAACCCAATAACCTTACTGGCGATCATGGGCAGGCTGTCCACGCGGCCTTCTTTGCAAGTTGCTGTAATATTACTTTGTGTTGCATTGTACTGAGCCAAGTCTAAACCCATCCTCCTCCCCCAGTTCACCTACGGCCTGGAACCGCAACCGTGTTTCTGACAAGCGTTTGGAGCTTTGCATCTACAAAACCAAATCTGGGTTGCAAATCGCATCGGCATATTCTTCACACAAAGAGAAAATAACAGGGGAGAATTCTTCAAACTCCTCCTCGACACATCTTGGATCTGGGGTTACAGCATTTTAACAGTGCCTCTTCTAATAATTGAACGCTGGACCTGGCACAGGTGAGAATGTGAACAGGCCATTTGCTGGTGACCTGGAAATGCATGAGTGCAGGACATGCTTGATCATGCCACCTTCCACGGCTCTCCTTGTGTAAGTTACACAAGCAGATAACTAGCCCGTGGCACAAGTATGAGCACACAAGTGGGTACTCCTCAATCGTTGTTTAACTTAGTGGCTACGGCAGCCAGCGGCTAGTCATTGCGAGAGCGGGAAAATTAAAACTGTTGTATACATTATCAAGCTGGTTGACTTCGGCGTTACTGAGACAGTACGTGTGCGCTTTGACAGTAGCCCACCCTTGGATGTTGCAGAGTTTCTGCGGCAGCAACAAATTATTATTTCATACCAAGGGCAGAAGACTTTGTGGTTTCCCTACTGTTTGAAGACCTAGGCATTCTCAAAAGATTGTCCTCTTTTGCAGACTGAAATGAGCTGTGTATGGGGAGAACCAGCAGCTTAGTACGTGAACAGCCGTTGAAGCTTTTTGAGTGTTGACTCAACATTGAAACTGCAGGAAAGGAGTCAAACTAACTTTGCGTAGAAACTAGTATCCAAACGCTTAAAATATTAAAATTAAAAACCATATATGGCAGAGAAGACTGTAGGTCACCGAGTTCTCATGGAAAATGAGGGATTGAGCTTGTACTCGAATTTGTACAGAGATTGGAAGCAGGCATGCCTTGCAAATGGGCGGCCCATGGAAATAACCTCTTCAGAGTTTGAGATACTTATTCTCGATTCCAATGGTGAATGCTTGAACACTGCTTCTGTTAGGAGCTGGGATAATTGTGGGTGAGTTTGACCAGGACAATATACTGCTTGGCAACCATCAAAAGCTACCAATATTGAAAAAGTGAAATCTGTTCACGTCATGTGGGGCCATGGTGTTGGCCTGGCACTCCTGCATACCAAATGTGGCAGAACCCAGAGTTGAATGTGTTGTTTACATAAAAGAACTGGGTCAGATTTGCAATCCCTGAGAAAAATATTCTTGTGACCTGTGATTAAATGAAGGCACAGCGAGATCTCCTGCATCTAGTTCTGTGAGGCAAGCAACATGTGATAAAAGTGATGACAATGATCTAAGTTTTTTTGTGGCGTTTAGGAAATTTTCTTTTAAAGGAATCATGCAACCTTGTTCTTCAAACTAATTATAGTTATTTCATGAAATATGGAGGGTGGTTTTGTTTGTTGGAAAGATAATTTTGGTATGCTACGTCAGATTAAAAATTCCCTTCAAGATCAAATCTTTAAAAACCAAGTTTCAGGTGGAAAAGGATCAAAGTTGTCCAAAGTTGACCGGAGTTTGACTTTTGGTAGTTGTGGTCATGTATTCTTTAAAATGGGTAGATGAATTATTTTATAAAATGGTTCAAATAAATAAGTAACACTCTGCATGATCCGTAAAATTCTATCAGAAATGAAAATAGATAAAGTTTAATATTTAACAAGTACATATGAAGAACATTGAAACCCACAATTGAGTTGACGAGTTTCCTTACAAATAAGGCATTCCTTCCGAGAGTGGAAAAGCCTTGCGTGCGAAGTATCTCGCTTTAAAGATTCAAAGGAAATGAAGGGAAAGAGGGAGAAAAGAAAAGAGGATACGGGATAAGTGAAAAGGTGTAATCTATACAGCATTTCCGTGCCAAAGACAACAAAGGGATAGAAGGCAGATGAAAAAAAAAAAAAAAAAAAAAAAAAACTTATACCACAAGTAACAGGCGGCGCTTCCCAAAATGCCAACATACCATTTCGCGGGAACTTTCCAAGTTTGTGAGCCTCTTGTGGGCACCTGCTAAATTTACCTTCCTTTTGTCCCTATCAACTTGGTTCTCACCAGTGGATAAATGCTTCATGTTCGCGACCCACGGTCACCTCCTCGAAGTAGTGAACCTGCTTTTCTAATCAGCATATTAATCGGCAGATTAAAGTGGTGATGTTTACCTGATTAGTTTTCGACTCACGCATGGACATGACTAGACGCCACTTTGGGCACTTTAGTAGAATTTTAACGTGCTTGATCGTGAGCGGAATGGACACTCGATGATCGCCCAGGATAACTTCAAAATTGCCAGTACGTGTAATGCGACAATGTCCAAGGAAAGAGTAGTAAACATCAGATTTGTCCTCACAAAATTGGTTCCATCGTTCTAAATCAATGATCTTGTGAGTTACAAAGCAGATCCGTGGGGTGCCGGAACTTGCAAAGCATAAAGTGGTGGGCTTGTATGGTCAAAGTCATTTAACAGCACAATGATTGGCGAGCTTGTGATTGACACCGATGACCTACAATCTACAGATTTAGATATTGTTCACCTGCAATCCACGCAGCATGGAAACACCAAACTATCTGCGGAGACACGGCACTGGAATTGACGACGGTCATGGCCACAAGGCTATTGAGCACCCCTGAACAGCAAGGATAACTTTGACTTGCGTATGACCAAGTTAGACGAAAAAAGTCCATGCTAAGACACGAGAATTCACTGACAGGCAGCATGATAATTTTCTTCAATTCACACGCATGAATATACACATTGCAAAGCAACGTTTACTTTATGTAAGGATCAACGCACAGATCCCCGGAACCCCATAGCCACAACCATCACATTCCAAAAAAAAAAAAAAAGCATGCGGTGACCATTTACAACCAAACACTAGGTAGAGAATAAGAAAAGCAAACAAATGTAAGTGAAAACTTGAATATTCACATGAAAGGTTGTGAGAAAATCATGAATTTACACTCATTTTCTTAGATAATATACATCGGAGTATTCATAGCAACGGAGCATACTAGAAAGTTACATTAAGACTTATGGATCCTTCTATATTACATGCCAGCGTCGTCAGGTCAGATTTGATTGACCACAACTCCACCCTTAGACACTGCAAACATTTCAATTGCGAGTATTTCTGACTTTAATGATAAATTAGCGAAACTTTCGAGAATCCTTGCCTGTACACTATTATGTCAAGTCCGTAACTGGTTAAATTACATTCCTCCACGTCTAACTTATGAAACCGTGAATGAGGATTTCCTAAATTTACGCCCAGCTTGTATCATGACGCCATTACACCTGGGCTTTGTTCTTCACCCAACTTTGTTAGTGTCTGTCAAGGTTGTCTCTGAGAAGCAGAAATGGGAGATACACGCGACGAGTCTCAGTTCGGACTCTAGTAAACGGCGTGATTATTCAGCTGCCCGTCTAGTAGACACCTTCATTGATCTGTATTAATGACATACAACAAGCTCCGCTGCAATCTCTGTAATTCATTGTCGACGACCGAGCATTCCCCTCCATTCCCTAACAACAGTCCTCTGTTCCAGATTCGTGGATACACAATCGATGTGCCCTGTTCACAAGAAAAGGAAACGAGAAGTAAGAAAAAAAGGGTCAACACGCGCTGCAATAGCCAAAATTGACAATGTGTCACAAGAGCGGTGGAGTAAGAGTGCAGACCAAGAAAACTCTCAATCGACTAAAAGTGCGAAAAAAATATGGCGTTAAACGGAATGCCAAAGGGACCAACGCCAAGAAACAAGAAGCGACTAATCACTGTTTCAGAATGAGGATTACCTTGCTTGCAAAATAGAAAGGCGGCATTGCTGCGCTCAAGGGCTGTAAGGCTGGTCACTTTCCACAACCACCGCATTCTACTTTCCACCACCACTGGGCTCGCGGTGTCGACAAAATCCCTCCTCCACACTTTCGTACAAAATAAGTAACTTCGCTTGCTTCAACTAATAGCATAAAAGCAAATTGTACACCCACGTTCACCCGTTGGCCATCCGCAAATTAACGCTCAGAACATAGGCGCCCTGTGAGGGCGCACTTGCTTCCTGTGGTGTACCTTGGGACCTGACTCGTAAGTCGGTGTGGGAGGTGCCATGGGGCTCATCGACGACAATCGCAGTTCATCGTCCCGGGGAAGGAGAACCGACATGCCAACACTAGGTGATGCAGACAATGCAACCTTTACTTTCTTCGACAACGGCCACTGGGTATCCTTGGCGCTGCGCTTTGAGTTCTTCATAGGAGTATCAGGGGTGAAATCCATAATTCCTGAGCCATGGCTGTGCGCACTGTGTTCCGAAGACATTGCACCTACACTGACTGTGCATCCCTTGGTAAAGAATCCTGGGCCCGACTTGGAGAACATCGTCAGTGTGAGGGTAAAATCGTGAGGATCCTGCTGAATTACCGCCAACTTGCACGAGATAGAGCAGAACCTAACCGGGTCGGCAATGCTGCGGTGGCACCACTCGCAGTAATGCGCCGCGCCCTTGACAATCTTGGTCTGCGGCTTCGACTGCAAGAACACAATCTTTGCGCTGTTGATGGTATATGGCTGAATATTGGCGAGGTCCACGTACTTCTGAATATCAGAAATGCGCACGACATCCCTGTGCGACGCCCTCCTGATTTGTATGGTAGCGTGTCCCTGTCCTCTGTGAGAAGCCGCCAGCCCTTCCGGACACAATGGTCCCTCCTGTGGACAGTCAAAACAAAATTGATTCCTCTCATTCTTCCCTGAAGTGTGGTGGTTGCACTGCGAGAAGAAGTTCTCGCTGTTCACCAACGCCGGCAACCACGACGGCCCTTCACGATTCATGAACATCCCGCCCATCACCATTGTACCTTGTTTCTAAGCACACTTCCCAACTCCCACAATGCAATGCACACTCAATTCACCCTCTAAACAACACGAGATGCAGACGCACCCGCTTCCCAATTCACTCCCAAGCCTCACAATACTCCGACTCGGTCAGAACCACCACCCGCGGCTTCTCTAGCCACTATACGAGAATGAAAGGTAAAAGACGAAGTCTGGGTAGTTTTATACGAGAGAGAGAGAGAGAGAGAGAGAGCGAAGAGGTTGATGGTACTCGGAGAAGTCTAGGAGAGGGAAAAACAGAGAGATCTGTTGGGTCTCGAAGAAGGTGTCAGACGAAAGAGTTGGCGAAGTGGGCAGGCTGGAGGGAGTATATTGGAGGTAGAGGGGAAGAGACCGAGGAAAGTGGGCGAGAACCTGGCTCAGAAGGCAGCAGGAAAGCCAAGCCACGGCAGTATGTAGTCTACACGCTAGTCATCCGTCTGCAGTGATGAGAAGGAGAGCGAGACCCTGAGACGCGGGGGCTGCTGCTGCGTCGGCGGCGAGAAGCGTCCTGGTAGCGGCGTCGCTTGTGGAAGGTAATTCATGTGCCACTGCCGCCGGGGAAATGGTGTGGCCGCTTCGTCCACGTCCCAATATCCTCCTCCTCCTCTTCACCCGCGACGGGACTTCCCTGCCCTTCACAAGCGCTGGGCATCTGGAAGCACACTTTCGGAGCCCACTTCTGGCTTCGCCCTATTTGGAGATTGGGATGTGGAAGTGAGTCATCTTCCCTTCTTGTGGTACTTGCTTCCCTTCCTCTTTGTAAAGGTAAAAGCGCCAAACTTACTTTACTACTCAGATTTTGTCTTGTTACTCGGTTGGCACTTGTTGTGGTTATACTTCATATTGACATGCAATGGGCTGCCCAGTCTTGTAGCAGTGCCACTTATTCAACCCCTTTTTTTTTGGTTCATTGGCACAGGGCCATCAGAAATATATATATATATATATATATATATACACACATTAGAGGGCTGCATTGGACTCTTTGGTGGGCATTCAATTGATCTCATTCTTCAATGCTTGTTGAGATTGTAATCCCAAAGAAGTTGAGGTGAGAGTTACTGATGGAATGATGTGACAATCAAGGCAGAAAATGTGCATGATGCCATTTTCATAAATGCCACACATGCATATTACCAAAAATTGATTTGGAAAAATCATAAAATTTTCATATTTATATGTTATTTTTCATTATAATAAAATATAAAAAACAAACAAACAAACAAACAAACAACAACAACAACAACAAAAACAACTTTTTTTTAGGTTTCAGAAGAAAATTCAATGTACTTTGAAAAGAGCTTAGAAAGTGTTGTGTGGTGATGTTGAAAGCAAAGTGTGTGTGTGTGTCCAAGTTCTGGAAGATGTGGGAGTTGGCTGTGCTGGCTGGCTGGCTGGAGCATGTGGGTGGTGGAGATGGGAGGGAGAGAGAGACAACTGCCCAGATTGCACTCTGCATGAATTGAGACACATTGATGGGTTCCTTCACCAACCATACCAAGCCTCACAACATCACCTTTTACTCATTGGAACATGGAAGTCACTAGAACATGTTGACTTCAAAAGCTTTTGGTTGCTTTAGGATACCAACACCAACCACGTCACCACTCACCATGTGGAAAATAATAGTGTCATGCTGGTAGTTTCTTTTCTTTTCTGCTTTTCTTGTATCAAACAAAAAAAACCAAAAAAAAAAAAAAAAAAAAAAAAAAGTTGACATCAAAGCACATAAATCATAGTGACATCATCCACAACATCTCCAGCAATACTTCATCCACCAATCTCTCAAATCATGTGCAATGCCCAATATGGGTCCAGGTCCCCCACCCCCTTGCAATCCCTTCCTTTTATATTCCATTTGTCAAAATCAGGGATGTGACAAACAAGAGCTCTAGAAAACTCACATCAAGCAAGTCCTAACCACTTTTGCTCAAATCAGATCTCAATTGAACGGCCTTGATGGAGATCCCAAACTATCCCCCTCTTCATGATTTTGATTCACATCATTCATTCTAGATCAGTCCTTCTTCTTCCAATCATTGGTGATTAGTAAATCAGTACCTTTCAATCCACTTAAGTCTGAAGGCTACATACTCCAGTAAGGCCACACCCCAACTATGAATTCATTTTGATTGTTATACACTGGATTAATCTGCTTCACATTCTTTGTTTTCTACCCCAACATGGGCACCATGAGAATCATACATTGAATCCTACAATAATAGGATTGAATCAATGGTGGTGGTAGGTATTTGATAGAGTGAAGCATGTAAGATGCTCATCCATTTCTCTAGCTCTGACTTCTCTAAGAAACCATCAAATCAGGGGGCTATTCAAAAGGCAATTATCACAGTTGTTTTGATGCCAAACATAGTGGCAAAAGCCTGGAGGTTACATCCAATCACAAGCCACCCTGGCAAATTCTGATCACACACCAAGGGAGCTCGTAAGATTCAAGTACAACTGAGGCATCACAATATATCATTAGATTTTGAACCTCCTAAACTTAATAGATATATATTTCATAAAATGTTATTTTCATCAGTTATATTATTGTGTCTGTGAAGTACAGAAAGTAAAGCACATTCAATATCACATAGTGCCATTGATAATAAATAAATCCCATGAATTTGTACAATTACAAAAATACTATAAATAAACTCCGGAATCCGTTAATTCTGTAGATGATACTTCCAACTAACTGTCTAAAATTTGGAGAATTGAATGCCATTTCTTCTTTCTTTCTTCCTTCCTTCTATTTTTTTATTATCATCAGTATTATTTGTTTTCCAGGTTGACACACAATTCATAAATCTTCTCTCAATATTTATGCACACACACACACACACACATGTATATACATACTTCAGAAAAATGTATACATTGATTGCTGTAGCTTCCACATGCTACCCAAAATTTTTAATATCAATGTATCATATTAAAAAATACATATACATTTATAACAACAGTAATAAGGAGGAAGTGGAGAAGGAGAAGAAGAAGAAGAAGAAAAAGCAGGGTATGTCTTATGCACTGGTTTCTGGAGGATTTTGAATATGAAAAGATTGTCCACGAAGGGTTAAAGGTAACCAAGTCCCAATAATCAGAGGGGAGTGGACAGTGAGACTAATAAAACAGGAATGCAGACAGTCCGATTGGCTGCAAATGGAGGTGGCTGGGTCAATGATAGGCTGGACGATCCTGGTGGACTGGGATGACTAGTTTCCCAACCTTGACTTTTCTATTATAAATTTTCACATGTAAGAACTCGTGTTGACCATGCCATTCTCCAATGATTCACGTTCTCATGTTCTCCTCCTCATGGGCACACTTCCTCAGCCATTCCATTGACCTTGTTCCCAACCCCACACTCCAGGGTCAATCAGTAAGTCTGCAATGTGCACAGCATATTCCTCACATTTCAGGATCCATGATTTTTTCCATCTGTAAGCTAAAAATAAGGATTTGGAAGAATCTGAAAGGGTATCTGTTCCTGTGAGGCAGTGAAGCAACTGATCATGACCAGAAAAAACGAATGGGCTTCGCCGTGAACTTAATTTCATTCCCCCAAAGTGCTTCATCCCAGACTTAACCTTCACTTTCTTCACCAACCAGGATAGCACAAAGGTTTGAGCACTGCTGGAGGGCTGTGCTCACTTGAAAGGAATGTTACAGCATAGTTGAAGCTCACTAGCGTTTCAGACCAAGAGAATTTAGCGAAGGAGACGCTAATTCTCATCCCTCTTTCTCGACAGGAGGTTTTGTTACTTTGCTAAGCTGGGCTTGCACAGCAAAGGGTAGCAACCAATGGAGGGAGGATACTTTAGTGATTGGATTAGTGTAGTTGGTTGTATTTTGACCAAGTTCGATGTGCTGACTGGGTATATGCTGCTTCCAGTTCAGATTAGGATTGCAGTAAACCCCACAAATGGGCCCACAGAACAAAATCAACCCGAACGCTCACCCACACATGGACAGCAGATACAGTAATAATATTGCGTAGCTCTTCCTATTTTATTCTTGTAAAAAAACAAAGTGATGGTAGCGACATGGACAGTCAAAACCTAAACTGGTTTTCTGGAGTATTATTACTAGAGTCTGAGCAAGCTTCTTCCTATATCAAACATGGCTCGCAGGCATGTGTTCCTGCCAAGTGTGGGGTTCAGTGCGCTGGTCAATCTTTCTAGTGTTTATAAATGGTGAAACGAGAAAGAATGATAGGAGGATAGGATTTAACGCGGCATCCCCCACACGCCAATTCTGGTGTGCCCAAGCTTACAACCTGCAGTCTCTGCACCTATTTTGCAGTGCTGGGGTCATGGGTGGGGCAATCTTTTAAAGTAGCTCGGTTGAGGTGCACAAACATCAAATACGGTGAATTTTTGTGACCCTGCACAATGTGTCTGTACTTTCACACGTGAATCTTGATAATTTTTTTAAAAAATGAGCTCGCAAATGGGGATGAGTTGGCCATGTTGGGGGAACATTGGAATGGATGCCCAGTTATCAACTTCAATCACTTTGCTGACTCATGTGCTTGAGAGCAGTGGGATTTTGCCACGGAGGCTATCCTAATGGATAACGTTTAATGGAATATCTGACAGACAGCTTCTGAGAACTTGAAAGGATTTCTTCTTTAATTCTTTTCTCTGGAACATGAGGGAGTTGATCCCTTAGGAATTAATTATGAACTAGTTACACAGAACATGCCTTATACTAAGGCTGAATGTCTGGATAGAAGAGTCTTACCTTGTCAGAGTGGGGTGAACTTCCATGCTTAGTTTGTTTCTGCATCTCTAATTGCTATTTTGTCTTCTCTTCTTCATGTTTTTCAAATTTCTTCAAGTACTGGCGAACATCTCGTGGCTTCTTCCAATTTTGGAGTAGTATTTTATGCCAACATTCTCTTGTGTATTCTGCTAGTCCATGCCAAATTATTTGATGAACTTAACCGGTTTTCAGTGATTGCTATATTGTTGATTGCTTGTAAACTCCACACGGCATTAAGTCACTGACTCTGGAACAAAAGATATCTATTATTCATTGCCCTCGTACTGCAACCACGTTGTAAGGGTCTGACCTCAAGTATTAGAAATTGGGGGTAATATGCTCCACTGGTCTATGTTTAGCTAGAGAAGGCTTAAGCTGATTTGCACTAAGCCCTGCTTCAAGTTCTAAATTTCCAAAGTTACGAAGGATAATTCACAGAATGCCAATTTCGGCACTGCTAACGACGAAGCACATTTCGGCGCACGTTTCAAAATACACACAAGGATAGATGGAGTGTGGATGGAGCTGACCCTGGTCAGGAGATGAATTTCAGGCTTATCAGGATGAAACAGCATCCTAAAGCTTGAAATCTAGGGACCTAGTCACAAGAAGAAGAGTCAATATCAGCTTTGTGTCCTGCCTTTGAAAACAACTGTTGGATAACAACAGTTGCATTTCTATTGTTAGTATTCTGTTTATCAAACTAATTCACATGTTTTTTGTTATTTTGTACAAATATAGGAGAAACTTATATTGCTGGGAGGGAAGAATGTACTCCTCCCCAACCAGTTACTGTAAGATATGGAAGGATAAAGAAGAATAGTTACCTATAAATTACATGATCATTCAAACTGCCTAACAGCAGAGTAATTGTTTTGATGCAGAGAGGTGCTAGCTAGTTTGATTGATAAACCACTAGATACAACACTGATTTTCTGCACATTAATAACTACAATTTACTGGTGGGACTGAAACAAAGTAAGTAACAATATGTATTGTTGTTTGGGTCCCTCTGTGTTAATACTCTGTATGAGGGGAAGGGGTATTCAACATGAAAGACAAATGATAGTGTTGAAAAAGCTCTCCTCTTCTCCAAGAACATGTTTGAATCACTCATGCTAATTTCATTTGACACATGTCCCACAAAGTCCCAGCAGCCAATTAGGACCCATCCACAGTCTTTTGGGAACTCTATGAGTAACTTTCTCCAGAGTCTGTACCCATGTTATCAGTTTCATGCTTGCCTTAGAGGATGGTGTGGTTGTAGCCATGATTTCTGTTGTCCTTGATGGAGACTTTCATTCATGTGATTCCTATGTGTTTTACATTTTTATTTTATTTTAATGTTTTCCATTGTCATGCCAATCTCACAATCTGTTGCATGCAAGTTGCCCCTTACATAGTTGGCTAGGCCATTGTGGGGAGCTCAGTAGATTGTAGGCAGGGAGGCCACAAAAATTCCAACTTTTCTCTAATCTGCAATGGTATGACTTTGTTCTGCCTAATTGCTTCTACCCCAAATCCTTCTGAGCCTAGAAAACCATGAGCAGACTGTTGTTTTGTAAATTGGAGTTTGTGGGGGAGAGGGAGGAAGTTGAGCCTGGAGTGCTGGAATTATTCACCCCCACATCCTGAGTGCATAATCAGAAACCTGGTTACACAGGAGCAGGAAAATCCAAATCAGAAGTGACAATTGCAGTGTTTCATCAATCTATCGATCCATTACACATCCGCACACGTCGTCCAGGGCCACACTGGTTTGTATTATAGGTGACTTTTTCACACGAGAGGGAGGACAGACGTCAGTTGTTACCTGATCCATTTTCCGCCAATATATGACAAATCAGGGAATCTAAGGAATAGGAAGCCCTTACTCCACGACAGTCTTTGCTCCAGGATCCACGGTGCTTATTATTGTCAATTTCCAATTAAGTCGATTCGCTCCATGATTCCATCGCCTCTTTCCCAGTTTAGCACTCCGAGATAACTTCCCACAGCACACACACACTTCAGTTTGGACCAGAGGTAAGTCCTGCGTTCACACACTCCAAATGTGCCACGTAAGACTTAATGACACTTTCAATAAATATATTTTTGTCTTTGAATAGAAAACAACTTCCTCATCCTACCACAGCTTTCATTGCTGGAACACAAATTCGGAATGGATGGCATTTCTCTGACGTGCGATATCATTCATCGACTGGCTGTGTTTTGTTTTTTTTTGTTGAGTAGCAAAGAATAAGGCAAGAGGGGGTGAAAGAGTACAGAACAAGGTGAAGTGAGGCACAAGTCTTTTGATCCCTTCCAGTTACCCTCTACTTTTGTGTTACCCAGTTGAAGTGTGGAACAAGGCCCAGAATAGTAGAGGTGGCATGATCCAGAGCCCAGAGCCATGTGTCCCAAAAAGCATGAAAGAGCCCTGCATGTTGCCCCACATGCTTCATCCTGTTGCCACTGGCTGACTGAAGAGCCTGGTGTTGCATATCTTTCTCCACATTCCTACTGCACAATAGCTTTCCTCCTCCACAGTGGTCCTTCATCTTCTTCTTCCTCATGTGGCTACGACTAAAGATCTTGGACACACGATGACTTGGCCTCTTGCCCACTAACTTGTGGGTTGGCATTGTTTGGGGGCAATGTGTGGCTATGGCCACAAAGACACAAAGCTGGTGGTGGAAGGGGCATTTGTTGAAATTATTATTAATGTGTAAAAAACAAAACATTAACATTTGTTTAACTTATGTGGCAGGAAGGGAACAAAAAAAAAACAAAACAAAAAAACAAAACAAAACAAAACAAAACAAAAAAAAAAAACAGAGAAGTTTCTGTCCTACTCTACCCTATGCACATTAAAAAGTTTTGTTTGGGTGTTGGTTTTTATATAGAAAAGGGGAATCATCCAGAGAGTTTGGCCAGCAGTGTGATTGAGTGGTGGGGGCAAGCATGCCAAGCTCTCTGCCATGTGGAGACACACTTAGAGGTTAGAGTGGAAGCAAAATGAGGTTGAGTGTGCTATTCACCTTTGTATTTGTTTCTTTGTGATTCCTTCCTTCCTTGTTTTTTTGTTTTGTTTTGTTTTCCTTTTTCCTTCAGATTATGAAGAGGATTGAGCAACATGCTGCCCACAAGCATATAGTCGCAGCCCTTCTTCTTCACCTTCTTCATCTGTATCCCATGGGAGTTCCTACTTGCATTGCATTGCATTGCATTGCCTTGCCCTGCCCTGCCCTGCCCCCAACAGTCCTTTCTCAGGCAAGCAATGAGTGAGGAGTTCTTCTAAATGAGTGATGCCCAGCCTTCCTTGGGAGCCGCTTCAAATCAAGGTTACCATTCAAAAAGTAGTACTTGTAGTAAGGCACAAGCATGTTCCATTGCATACAAAATGTCCCTTCCTCATTTTCTACATCTCTCCCTCTCTCTCTTTCTCACTCACTCGACTGGCTGTGTGCTCAAGCCTTGCTTGCTTGCAGCCAATTGTTCACCACACCTAAATAATTCCTGGGAATAGGAGCTATGAACATGGTACCAATCATGAAAGGGTAATAGCCATCAGGCTTATATATATATATATATATCTATATACATACATACATACAGACACATATCTAGACAAAAGAGAGAGTTCGAGAGAGAGAGAGAGGTCACTTAGTCATGTACTGGTGGGCCGTTACAGTTCCAGAGGTTGTGATGCAGGTTAAGGTTTACACAATGACATGAAATTTATGGGACAAGAGACCAACAGACTTGTTCAGCTAAATAAGGGAATTGTACTATGTTTTGTTATTGTTTTTTGTTTGTTGGTTTGATAGTTTTCTCAGTTGTGTTTTAAACTGTGACTGGTCCAGCTAGAATGATGTTGCATTTGTGACAGGTTAGCTACCAACACAACATTATCCATACTATGTTATATAATATCCTGCAAGATACCATGGAACATTAGTTGAAGTTTAGCATCATGATAGTTTGATATATATGTATATATATATATATATATATATATATATTCTTCTTCTTTTCTTGTAATATAAACAAAGAAAGAAATAAAAATTTAATCTTTTGAATAACATAGGTTTAAAATTGATCAACTTTGGTTGAATGTGATTTTTTGATGTATAAGTTTTAATTCAATTGAATTTGAGTGAAACTGCTACAGTGCCTTGGTATTGAGATAATGTTAAAATACAACAATACAGCAATGTTTAGACATTGTTTTCTTTTAAGCATCATTATATATTTTTGAAACAAGCCCTTGATAGAAAAATGATTGGTTATTTTGAGTTGATATGTTGTAAAGCACTCATGATACAAAACAGCAAATAGAGTGACATGATCATTATCATCATTCCCATGGATTATTTATTTATTTATTTATTCTATATATGCTTATGAAAAATAAGTCTCAAGCAATCTTAATACAAGGAATAGTCAAAACAATCATAGAACTTGGATTTAAAATTTGGAATAGATTACAAAAAACTATAAATAAACTTGATTCATTTTAGTTTTGTTGTATAAGTACCATCATCCCTGAAATTAGTATGAAATAAATATATCTAATAAATTTTCGTTTTACATGATATGATGCATTTTAACTTCTAATTTAAACACAATAGAAATAACTTACTTAATGACACACTCATTAATATTTTCTATAATTGGGAGCACATTGATTTTTAATTTATTTATTGATACAAATATAAGTTGGTTTATGTAGTTTAATATGAAATTACCATTTAGAACATAGGAGTTTCAATTTAAAAATTTAAAAGTTTATTTATAATTGAGATATCATATTTGATTCAGTAAAATAACTTCATATTATTTTTATTGTTATTGATATAATTTGAGCATTTCTGAGTTCGTATCTACTCTATCCTGAAAATATACAAAATTCATGCATCTTTTAATCTTTTTAAAATTTTATTATAATCATTGTGACTCTGCGTATCTATATATCTATCTGTGCCTCTTCTCAAACAATTCTTACACTCATTCATTTGCACAAAGTTAACCATTTCAATTTTGGTGTTATTCTTAAGTCTAAGATCTTTTATTTATTTATTTATTTATTTATTTATATAATCATAATAATAGACATGATTTGATGAGTTTTGATGCAAATGTAATGCTTGAGACATACCTCAAGTTAGAGCCCCCAATTCAATACAATAATAACAATAAAAATAACAATAATAATCACAATTGTTTTATCCACATACTCTGATCAACAAACCCAAAATTAAATAATTTGGTGGGAGTTTGACCTCCAGTTATAAAACACCCATGTATTGACCAAATTCGTATTCCTCCACAGCTATAATACTTCTATGAAAATAATACTTGGAAATTCTAGATACAGTGAGGATAATACAGCATGAGCACTCACAACTGTAGGGGTGTCATTAAGCTAATTCTTATTGAACAAGTGATGGTTTTCACATAAACCCACATCATCAACCTTTGTGGCCCTAATTTAAAGGTCATGAGGATGTCACTTCATGCCTTCATCTGAAACTTTTAAGTTGTGTGGTTCCATTTTTATTTTTATTTTTATTTTTTTTTTCCCCCCCCCTTAACTGTCATTCCACACCTCCTCTCTCAACATCTTTGCATTCAGTAGAATCCAAAATATGCCACATGCACCCATTCGCCATGTTTCACAAACTGTTACACTTGCGGTAATTGAACCAAGTGGGGATTAAATAACACTAAGCACAGAGGAGGACTGGAGTTAATCAACAAACCAAAAAACACACACACACACACAAGAAATAAGCCTAGTTTTGAGTCACCGAAAGTCTGGTGGACAGGAGGAGGGAGGAGGAGGCTTTTGCAACGTGGTCTTGGTTGTCGATCCCTCGAAGGCAAAAAGCGCAGTGTGATGTGCCAACATGATTGATCGAAACAGGTTCGCAAAACTGGAACGGGATTGATGATGATGGTGATGATGATGATGATGATGATGATGCTGCTGCTGCGGTGGTGGTTCACAAGTCGCAGTTGCAATGGCTTCAGTTGTGACAAATAATTCACAACCGACGACGATCACCTGTCAAGCCTCAGAAACTCCTCCCTCACACCCCGTCTTGGAAGGTACACCACCCACCGTTTTCTTACGACCGATCTCCTACTGCTGCTGGTAGTCTCTTTCAGTAAAGGTTGAAGTGGCTGAAGCTCTGCATGCTCTTAGGATGTACAATGTTCGCATTTCCGGTGTCGATGTAGTTCAGTAAACTGCAGGCCACTGTTTGAAGGTTGCTGCGGCAGAGCTCTAGCGCCAGCTTGACAGCTGCCATGGTTGTCATGCCATCTCGTGTGTCGCGTTTAGGGTTGTGCTTGACCGCATTGCATTTGACAATGCGTTATTGCTAGTTTGCCAAAACGTTCGTCAGATCCCGGGATGAGGTGTCTTCGGGTGAGAAATGTCAGGTGCAAAGTCAGGGTCAAGGGAATTAACATCGATGGACAAGCCATGAAGGATCAGGCGAGATCCCGTTTCTGAGTGTGCATTTGCATTTTCTCTGTATCAATACTTTTGGGTTGCTTCCGTTGGTGCTGTGTGATGGAACGCAGGCCGATTTGGACCAGGTGATGCAAGGAACCGGCTTGCGACCAGGGTTTCCCTGCAAAGTCATCTTAGAGATCTGAGTATCCGCTGAGATTGAGGATGTCGACGGCGGCTTCAAACAATTCAGAAAGAGGCGCGAACAGCAGGGATACGAGATTGAGTGATCGCCTCCCAGCCACAAGGGATCGTAGTGGCTGCTTGCCCATGTCAAGCTCGACGGAATACACGATGGTAAACCTTAATTTCTTATCATCAACACCGCAGTTCCGGAGATTTTGAATTGGAATATACTCGACATCGGTTTCAACGCGCGAATCGTCACGCTCCTTGCCTCCGTCTGTACAGAAACTGTTGCTCTTGCACCGTGAAGGCTTTATTAACGTCAGGAGCAGCAATTGATGAGATATGTGGCGGCAACTGAAACCTCTTCATTCCGTCCCGCGTGCTCTCTTCTCAGTGACTACAACTCCTCTACGACTCGAGTCTGGCCTCTGTCCCTAAAGGCTTCCAGCCCCAGTCGCATTCTTCCTTAAAAATATAGAAGAAACCATGCTCTTTGACACCCACAAATCCTCACCACCTGATCTTGTACTTTCATGAAGCGGTTACTACCATTACAACTCCAATCTCCAAATAGAGCCCAACAATGTGAGGTATTCCAGCCAGCGAGGATCATTCACATCTCCCAGACGAAATTATTGCATGATCAATTGTTGAGGAAGAATGAAAGTAGATCATACTTTGTTTTTAAAGCTCTCCAACTCACGGTGATGCTAATACTAACTTTCGGCGGACAAGACCAAGTCTTGTTGCTCATTTCTTCACCTTCTCATCGCCAAAGCCTCATTGTCTCAAGCATCCTTGTCACTTTCTCATGACCATGAAAGTCTCCTTTCAATCAAGGGACTTTGGTTGCACAAGCTCGGTGCTCACTCTGATGCTGCAAAATCACTCTGATTCTAGCGAAACACTCTCCACAGCTTCATAGGGGATATCAAGAGGTTTAGGGTGTGAAAAAGCAAAGGTATTGATGTTCAATAGAATGGTGATAGAAACAAGTTGGATTGGTGGGTGAAGAATTACTAGAGATGTAGGAGACCAATAATAATTTAGTGTGAGAGGATGTAATTTGTTGATGAGGAAGAATGAAGGAAGATCATACTTTGTGGAGAATTATAATGAAGACTTCCAAAGTTATAAGGTTGCTTTTAGTTTAGTTTAGTTTTTTTCTTTCTAATTTGAGTTTAATATTAATAATTGGTGAAATATTATTTTTAATATTAATAATTGGTGGAATATTATTTTTTGTTGATAAAACTAAGTTTAATTTAATTGATGGCATCAATTGCACATTCAATTGTTTTTTTATTTTTTTATTTTTTTTTATTGGTTGGCCCACAATAGTTTCATTGAAAGATTAAGTAGATGATGTCTTTTTTGTTTAATAATTTATAGTCGTAGTGTATTTTTGACTCAAATATGTTGATAGCTTGAATACTTAGAGTTAAGAATTTTATACAACAATGACACTTGTGCAAAGATAATAATAAAATAGTTTGAATAGAATGGACAATAGATATATTAACAAATAGATCTACATCATCAAGTTGATTATTGTGTGTATATAAATATAAATATATATATGTATATAATAATTTAAAAATAAATAAATTAATATAAAAAATAATTTAAAAATAATTTTATAATTTTTATTTAGCTTTTATATTAAATATATAAATTCTTTTCATCTCCAATTTAATTTAATATTACCTTTGGTGGAAAATTTGGTTCCCCAGTTGGTTTATAATTTTTAAAAATTTAAAAATTTTTTCCAGGATTATCCAAATTGTTGTTGGGTTCTTCCCAAAAAGGGGTAAAATCCATTTTTAAATTTTTAAATATTGAAGGTTTAAATTTTTTTAATTTTTTATACAAACCTTAAAGGGTACCGGAAATTTTGGATTCCAAATTTAAAATCTTAAAAATTTTTTTTTTTGATTAGGTAAATTTTAAATTAAAAAATAATACCCTTTTTTTTATAAATAAATACCCCTACCTTGGCCATTCCCAGGTGTTACCTTTAAAAAATTTTTTTAGGATAAAAAACCCCAAATTTTTTTTTTTTTTATATTTTTTAAGGATAAAGGTAATAGGGGAGAATCTCTTTTTAAAAAAAATTTCCTTGGAAAAACATAGGTTTTAAATCCAACGGAGGTTTTTTTTTTTTTTTTTTTTTTTTTTTTTTTTTTGTTTTTTTAATTTTTAATTTTTTTTACAAAATATAGCCTTAATTTTTCAAACTTATTTTTCACACATATTTTAATATGTTTCATTTTTAATAATATTAAAATAAATTATATGGTTTTAAATTTACATACTAATAAATTAATTGTAAATAATTTTGGTTTAAAAAAATCTTAAATAAGAATCTTTTAAGATATTAAAGATATAAGAACTAAAGATTAATAAATCAAGAAGTACATAGGAACTGAATATAATTTCAAAAATAAGGCTAAACACAAGAATAGAAATATGACAACACATAAATTACTTCAAAACTTACATCAATAAGATAAATATCACTCTTGTCTTGTTTTATTATTTAATGAGGTTCAACGAGAAGTTCTAAAAATTATAAAATAATATTTTAGAAGTATAAAGAATCATCTATAGAAACTTTAATACATATAAACTATCTTGGATAATAAAAAATATCAATTTTTTTAAGTTGTTAATTTTTTAATAATAAAAAATACTTTATAATCTTACTAAAGGTTCAAAAAGATTTTAATATTTCTAAGAGTCTAAAAGGCATTTGATTATTCTAAAAAGTAAATATATCAAGGATATGAATCACAAAGAATCAAAAGGTTAATGCACTCTTGTGTCATTAGAAGAGTATAAATAATCACTCTCAGATGATATAATATTAAATTAGAATGGCTATTATTAAAAGAGAAGAAAGCTAGAGACTCTCTAGACAAGACTAAGGACTAGAAAGATATTGGCAAGACAAAAGAAGATTATAAGATATTATCAAATCTATCTATATTTATTTTCTATCTAACACTTCTTATCTTGATAATTATGTATGTGTGTGACAAAATAAGAATTTAGATTCTTGTATACTTATAACATAATATTTTTCACAAAATAATATCTGATTAAGTACTTAATATACATATCTTTGTTAAAATCCTCTCAAGATTAACTATTTTTTATAAGATTTTTTGCATTTATTTTATTTTATGTTATTTATTTATTTTCTTCTAATTAGTATTGAATTTAAAAAACAATCTTTAAAGGATTTGACTTTGCATTTATAAAAAATGCAAAAATTTATTTGATAAATATTTTAATATTCGCTTTATTTTTAAATATTATGCATCAAAGATATAAAACACGGTTTTTTTAATAATCTAACTAATTTTATTTTTTATTATTGAAACAAATATATATTATTTTGTGATTTTTTAGGTTAAAAATTGCTCTTAAATTTTTTTAAATGTTACACTTAATCACAAAAATTTGGACCTTTTAAATTCATGATTTAAAGAATTTTCGTGTTCATTTTTACAAATAATTTTTAATTTTTTTTGGATAAAAAAAATAAATTTATATTATGTTAATTAATAATAAAATTAAAAAATATACTTTATATTTATAAAAATATTTCTATGGTGTTTTAGAAAAAAATTAAATATTTAATTAGATTATTTTAATTAATTTCTAATTTTCTTAGTAGAATTTGCAATAGCATAATTTAATTAGCATAAAAGAATTTTAGATATTTTCTATTCTTATATATATATATATATATATATTTGTGTGTGTGATTTAGGTCAAAGTGAAGAAATAAAAATTAGTCGTGCCATAATTAAAGTAATTATTTTAATAATAAATTTTATCTTTAAATGAATATGTCTAACAAGACAAGTTAATTTTAAGGTTATGCAACAAAAAATTGATTTTCTAAATGATAATTTAATATCATTACAATAAGTTACAAAATTTGTTATAGCATTATTTATGTTTTAAGAACAAAAATTATAGTCTTTTAGAATTTTTTACTTATTATTATTGTTATCATCATTATTTCAATTACTTATTTATGTCAAGTAAAAAATTCTTTTAGATCTATCTCCAATTTAATCTACTATAAATAGTTTTATAATAAATATATATGTATAGTTAAACCATTATCTTATGGAGTGAAATTATAACTTTTTTACTTTTTATATTTGAGTAATGATTCTTATAACATAATTTTAAAGTAAATAAAAAATATTTGTTTACTTTTAAGGAATAAGTCCTATTTGCGTAGTCAATAACTTATAAGATTTGAATCCATATCTATCTATCTATCTATCTTTGTGCTCTAAAATTGTATATATATATATATATATATATATATATATATATATATATATATTTTGAGTATTCATAATACAAATAAAAATTGATTTTATTTTATTTATAAAATGGAATCATTTAAAATAAAAATTATAAATAAATCATTTAAAAACATATTTTTATTTATTAAATTGATATTCATAGTTTTTTTTTAAAGTTTAATTATTTAATTTTTCCAACTTATACAAAAATGTTATTTTCAGTCTATCATAATTCCAAATTTAAATAAAATTATTAAAGAGAATACATGGTAAAACAAAAACATTAGAACAAATATTTAATTACTAAAAAACCAATAAATTATGGAATTTTTTTTAAAATAAATCAAATTTATTTATTTCAAGTTATTGTCATATTTCATAAAATATTTATATTTGATAAAAAATTGGAAAAATCTTGAAAAATATATATTTTAGAAAAATGAGACCAAATTGTATGTAAAAATATTCAAATGAGTTACAAATATAATAGATATTTTGAAATGTGAACCTCTTATAACAATCTATTTGAACAAATGACTATAAAATAAAATTCATAGAGGTAAAACAAATGGTAAATATAAGAACTAAAAAAAAGAATATTTGATGAATATTAATTTATCAATCATCAGTTTATGAATAATTTTATAATTTTTTTATTTTATTATAATTTATTTCTTTATTAGAACTAAAATATAAGTAGTAAAGTTTGTATGATTTTTGCATGCTTATTTTTAATGGATTAAAAATAAAGCATTAAAAAAATACCAGTGAATGGTTTGAGTTACTTATATTTAAATATTTCTAATTAAAATATTACTAAATAAAAATGATAGATTCTTACATTTTTAAGATTAGTTTTTAACTTAGATTTAATAGTATTATTTTAAAATTATATTTTTGCTAAATTAAAATAAAATAATTAAGGTAAAGAAGAAAATAATAGAAACTAAACTCACAACAAATGAATATTAGAAACACATAAGCTAAACCAAGCAAATAAATAAAAAGGATGTAGCAATTTTACTAGGTAGACACTTTTCTTTTTATTGTTTTATTGTTTGCTTTAATTAGCTTATGTGTTGCTAGTATTTATGTATTGTGGGTTCTTATTGTTTTTTGTTGTTGTTTTTATACCGTTCAACATCATTAGTGCACAACATGTTGAAAAACTTTTACAAGTGGTGTATTTGTAGTGTGGCATTACAAGTGTCTATACAATAAAAGATATTTTTTTACACAATAGAAAGAGAATGTCCATCTAACAATTTACTAAAATAATAATTTGGTCCATTTCATGGCTTCTTCTTACTTTACACTATGTTCAAAAGCAAAGGTTTTTAAAAGACAACTTTTTTCACTACATGAGAGACCTTCGTAAAGCTTTTGAACCATAAACCTGGTACAAAGACCCACTAGGCAAGTTTATAGATATGTAACTAACAACAATTGATTCTTAAAGAAGTGGCAACCAATAATCCAAGCTGTTTTTAGGTTTTTTCAAAAATTACATTAATTTTTTAAAGCTGGTTGGGTTCCATGATGTGGTGCAATCCAAACTCTGAAACTGAGGAATAAATACACCCAGTATCCCATTGAATAAAACTTGATAGTTGTTGGGGGAATTCAAAGCCAATTGATAAGTTTGAATGCTGTAGAAGACGGACAAAATGATTTTTTTTGAGAATTCTAGACATGAGAGACAGATGCTGATTATGTTATTTAGGATTTTGTGCTGTTCATGGACACAATGTGCCTGCAAAAGTCAGGTATTGCAGAGGTCTA